ACCAGAATTTGATCAAGTTAAGGTGTACCGTGCGAGGCTGAAGACTACTTCGTCACCACGGTCGGCTGATCGGGATAAGAGTCAGGGCAAGACAACCTACCGAAAAATCTCCACCGGCGCACTATCGTCCGGCTACTCATCGGCAACCATGTTGACGGACAACGCGCTGGAACTCACGGTGACGGGGCAGAACCATGAAGAGTATATAACTGATAAGTCGGTTTATATTAAGAGAAAACCCAAGGATGAGCCTGCAAGACTGGTATACACTAAGGACCCCTCACTTGCACCCCCACTCAAACGTTATTGAGCCAGTAACTTATGGAATACCAACTTCCAAAAAATGACAGAAAATGACAGCTTTGTAAAAATGTTTATATAAAATATTTTGAACACCCTGAGTGTCCTTGTTGCTACATGATATGGTGCATTTCGGTGACTGGGAGTTGCTTGAGAAATTAGCTTTATTTATTCTCAGCTTTACGAAAAAGATCAAAAAGTGAGACATAATGAGGGTGTTAAGGTAAATACAGTGTAAAGAAAAGCTTTCTTATTAATGTTATCCCGATATTATATTGGTAGGACCTTGACTTGTTTACAAGTTGCACGAGCCCAGTCATTTGGTCTTGCCTTCAGTGTTGTTATAAATAATTTATTTTAGCATATTGTCAATAAGAGAAACAGGACTTAAATATAAGTCAGGCCGTGACTAAACAAAAAAAATGTTAGGTTTTGTTCTTACTAGTCCTATTAATATTTATGAGAGATAAAATAATTGCGAATATGATGTGTTTGCATTTCTAGGCTTGATTTATTTACTAAGAAATAAAAAATTATATTTAACGCTAAACGTATTTATTATTGTCATACTGCACCACCTAACGTTGACTTTTAAAAATCCACACAACTCCAACGTTTTCCGAAATAGCAGAGCAAGGAGGACGGCTTTCTTTGTGCTGAAATAAATAAGCAGAATGCACTTTATAGCTGTATTTACCAAGAACAAGGTAGAAAATTGAGCACCCAGTTCGCTTGCTAAAATTCAAGTCGTGTAAATAAAATGCCGAGCATACCTAATGTATTAGTTTTTTAGCTTCAATTTTGAGGTTTACCGTCAGGACGCAAACGTTTATTTTTATTTGTTCTTCAGATATTGATAGCACACGGCATACATTAGTTAAATGGGTTTTAAAAGCTCAAATTAACGTATATAAAGAGTACTACGAGGAGACGCCGCAAATATAAGCAAGTGTTTGATGCAAGCAAAGTCAATTTAATTCAATATTTAAAAAAAAATGTAGACGACCGTCCATGGTTTGAAGCAATTCATTACCTTAAACAAATGTCAATTAGTGGAGTATACTATAAGAACATTTTTTGGTTTTATTCTGTTTGAAGAATCGACATAGCGATCAAATATGCAAATTAAGGGAACATGCCCATGGTGTGCAGCTGTGAGTGCTCTCACATAAAAACCTATGAAATTTCTAAGTTGGTTTGGCAGATTTGCTTAATTTGAGTTGACCCAAGTGTGAAAAA